TCCTTACATTTATATAACGCTTTTCTGGGCACTCAAAGCACTTTACATAGACGGGGGGAATCTGCTCAACCACTACCAGTGTGCAGCATCCACCTGGATGATGCGAAGGCAGCCATATTGCGCTAGAACGCCCACCACACACCAGCTTACTGGTGGAGAGACAGAGCGACGAAGCCAATCAGTAGATATGGGAATGGTTAGGAGGCCATGATGGTCAGAGACCAATGGGATGCCAGGGTTACACCACTACAATTTTTCTAAGTGAAAAAGTGTAGGGAAGTACACAAATAGTCAGGACCTCAGTTTAACATCTCATCTGAAAGACAGTGCTTTTTGACAGTATAGCGTCCCCATCACTACACTGGGGCGTTAGGACCCGCACAGACCACAGGGTGAGCACCCCCTGCTGGCCTCACTAACACCTCTTTCAGCAGCAACCTAGTTTTCCCAGGAGGTCTCCCATCCAGGTACTGACCAGGCTCAGCCCTGCTTAACTTCAGTGTGCCACCAGTCTTGGGCTGCAGGGTGATATGGCTGCAATGTTTGAATTCAATTATGACTTCTGCTTAGACTATTCTGTCTTAAAAATGTTTTTCCCCCTCTTAAACCAGAACGGATGTTTGTAATTGTGTGTTTGTTCTTTTGTAAATGTGGGGTTTAAATCAAGTGAAAAAAAACAACAACTGAAAAACTTAAATAGTTAAAGGGGATAGTTCACCCCTTTAATGACAATTGTCATCATTTACTTGGCCTCGTGTTGTTCCAAACCAGTATGAAATTCTTCTGAAACAATTAAGGCCAATTCTTTCATTCTGAATGCTTCACAACCCTGGAGCAAGTACACTCTGCACACATTATCGTAATTTTTAAACTTTGCAAAACATAAAATTGTTTATTCAGTCATTTGACACGCCACTTCATATATGGTGTGGCTAGAAGTTACCTATCAGCTCCATTGGCAACCTGTGGTCAGCTCAGCCTGGCCTGGAAAGACTAAAGCCATGGAGACAAGAGGGAGAGAGTGAAGGAACGGGAGTGAGAGAAAAAGAAAGACGAAGAGAAAGAAAGTGACGAAAATATCCCGGAAAGTTGCTCTATAATTGGCGCAGTCTGTCAGAGCCCTATTTTATGTGCATGAGCAGGGCAGGGCAGCCATCTCGTCCCCACTGAAACCCAACACTTACAGGAACAGTTCTTCATCCCTCCCACCTCCCAGCAGAGGAGAGCAGACTCCACAACACTCTACTCCTCACTGCAGGATTACTGTATGTGTGTGTGTGTGTGTGTGTGTCATCACACCTGTGTGTGACCTTACCTGGAGCTTTATTTCAAGGAGGATGCTGCTTTGAAACTTCAGGTGTCTGTGAGGTGTGTTTCAGGAGGAGGTTGAAGAAGATCTTCTTGTTCCCACGAATTGACATCACAGGTAAGAGTGAGGTTTATCATGCATATCCCATCAGTACACATGTCTCTGTTATAGTGTTTACTTGTTGATATTTTATGCTAGAATATTTAGCCATCATGTCTTGATAGCTCAGTCTGGTCTTCAACTAGTGCTTTCTTTGTTCTTCCACTTTTTTGGAGAACTTTAGAAGAACAAAAGGCTGGTTTTTACATTTTACAACGGATAGAGTGAAGCTTTCTGGTTTATTCATCTGCAGGTTGCTCCCATGCTGGTCGTTCAGCAGAGATTTGGAGTTTGGCCGGAGTGTTAGTGGAGATAGATGCACTGAAAGGTTTCAGAGACTCAAAACTAGAAATGTACCTGCAAATGACAAAAAAAATATAAAAACTGACTTTTGATGGTTGTGAAAATTGCAAATTGATCAATAAGGAAATGACAGAGGTAAGTAGGTCAGTCAGTTGGGTTGGTGACCAAAATATTGTAGGCTATAGAGCTGATAAATATATATTATAAAGTATATTATACTGTAATAACTAAAAGGTGGGTGAAGAAAAGCAGGTTATAGAGCTGGTAACCAAACGACTATAAGTTATTGAGATGGTAAAACAAAAACAGTACTGTATGTTATACTGTATGTCTAGTTACTAAAAGTTATAAGTTCGCTGATGAAGAGAATGCAGGTCAGCTGACCAAAATATTGTAGGTTATAGAGCTGGTAAACCAGAACAATAGTATGTTATACTTTACATCTAGTAACTAAAAGCTTGTAAATTGGCCGATGAAAAGAATGCAGGTCATAAAGCTGGAAACCGGTAATAGAGCAGATAAACCAAATACAGTATGTTATTCTGTATTCCTAGTAACTAAAATGTTATAAGGTGGTTAATGAATAGAAATCAGGTAATAAGCCTGGTAACCAAATGATTGTAGGCTGCAGGGAAGATAAACAATATGTTTTGGAGCTGGTAATCGAAAGGTTATAGGCCGTGGGACTGGTAATCCAAAAATGTATAGGACTGGTAAAGTAAACAATTGTAGGTTGTCAGGCAGGTAAATAAAAGATGGTCGTTCAAAGGGCTGGTAACCAAATGATTACAGATTAGTTAAAGACTGAAGATTGAAGAACATTTTAATAACCCAAAGAGAAAGAACCTTTTTCCACAATAAAGATATTTTTGGGGATATGGAAAGATTTCATGGATGTTAAAGTTTCATCATAGAGCCATAGATGCCTATTAAGAGCCTTTATTTTTAGACTTTAGGGCTGGTAAACAGATGGCTGTATGTGACCATGACCTTTGTGCCTAAAGGTCTTACCTTAAGCCCATGGTATACTTTGGCCATCCGTGTGACATAATTTTCATCATTAGGAGGGTCTGCGGATGTCCGTGCCCACTTTACGCATACAGCCTAATTTTTATGACTTCATGGACTAGGTTAGAATATAATTGCTTCTGGAAGAGTATAAAAAAGCAACTGTACTGTGCATGTGTCGAACTCGTCTATCTGTGCTCATTCGCAGTTGAGTATACTTTGAAAGCTGTGCAGACACAAATGAGCACGAGACAAGAAAAACAAGTTTACCCAGGCCTTTAACCCCAGGTTCTTTCTGGCCATTGACCATATAATGTGTACTTTAAAATGTGTTTTAACCAACATTTGTAGCAGTGAACAGAAGGGCTAAAAACAGAAATGGGTGTTCACTCCTACAAACATTTCATTTGAGTTATTTTCATCTATTTTTAACCAAGTGCGGGTCTATTAGTTTTAGAAAGCAGCAGGCAATTTAGGCTAATAACTTGACCAGAGGGCTGGTAAAACAATGTGCCCTTTAATACTTTGGACTTCTGAACTGACTGTAAGAAAACAGAAGCCTTTGCAACTCTGAAATTTGATGTCCATAGAGATACCAGCTGGTATACCACATCTGAACTGAAAGGAGGCTACGGGTGGCTGTTTCTTTCCACAAAACATAAAAAGATGATGTTTACTGCAAATCTATAAATGCTCTGGTTATACTTTGGGACAGTAGTTAAATGAATGCGGGATACTTTCACAGCATCAAAGAAACATAAGAAGACCTGCTCTGGTCAGAGGGTTCAAAGAGCTCATCGTGCTGAGAGATACTATGAGCTTCTAAGACCAAAAGCAATGAGCAAGCAAGGCTTTCTGGGTCATATGATGATAATGCAAACCTTCATGAAAAAAGGAGGGAGAGGAATGAGTTATTGAAAGCAACAAAGAAAAGACACTGAATTGTGTAAGAGGAGGCGTCAGGCCGGCAGTTCACGAGGAACATGACTGTTTTCCTATTGGCCTGACAGATCCAAAAATGGGCAGTTTTTCATTTCTAAATGCATCAACTAGTACTGGAAAAATATAAGTAGGACTTTTAACTCACTAACTGAATCGATTGCATTTTTACAAGGCATCAGAGTCACAGTTCGCTCTATTGTCCTTGATGAAGGTTTTGCAAAAAGAATGGTAATTTTATGCACCTGAAAGTTAGACAGCTTAGATGAAACTGCCTGTGAGGATGAGATGCCACATCATCAAGGCTCTGCAAACCATAATTCAATGCTTCCCAAAGTTGCTCCCTCTGATGATAGTGTGCTCCATGGGGCGTACTATACACCACTAAATCTGAAGAACACCCTATTTACACCGAAACATCAGTTCAGCTTAGCCAGAGGAGTGTGGTTAGTCACCAGTGGTGGAATGTATAGTTAAGTGAATGGGGGAATGAATTACGCTTGGACGTAAAACTTTCTTGGATTTTCTTTCTGTTACCCCTCCTTGGTTATTCTGGTTTGCTGATGGAGACCTGCATTTCATGATGTGTTATTTATAATATTATGCATTTTTCCTAAATACATATTAAATATGTATCACGTGCATGCTAGAACTTTTGCTAATGTATATGTCTATTAGAAAACAAGCATTATTTCTTCACCATGCACTACATTTCCAGAGGTGTCCATCACACATATGGATGAAGGATGAATCTCATGGAAACATATATAGGTCACACTTCACACCAAAAATAAGATTATAATTAAATGATATAATTATATAAAATTATACATATAATTATATACGATTATAGTCATTAAAATTAGTAGAAATTTATAATTAATGTATTATTTTTTGTTTGTTTTTATGTAAAAAAAAAATCTTTATTTAAACTTTATTTATTTAAGGTTGTAGTATATTTAAAAAAAAGATTTTATATTATTTAAAGTAATGTGGAGAGTGGTGTGTTTAAAGGTCATGAAAAACAATGATTTAGTCTAAAGCTTAAAATGGTAAATAGCCCTGCATTCACTTACACACTGTTTTTATGAGCATGGCTCATCTTGTTGTCAGCTCAAACTGAAACGGCAACTTGGAAAGTACAAATCAGGATTAATGGGCTGCACTGGCAGTACATCAGTTAGTGCAGAGCTAACATGAATCATACACTTCACTTCTGTTTGCAATCGTTCAATGTAACTCAGTTCAGAGTCCAAATGACTGATCACCTCACATTTGTTCTCATGTCTCCACAGGAGCAACAAGTTGCTGATCATCGCACCTTAGCGGGAATATCAGCAAACAACAGCGGAGAAGGAGATGAAGTTTCGATTTGGGCTCAGGATCTCTTTGGTCCTGACCATACTGGCTCTGACTCTGTACGGAGGCGGCGTTGAAGGACAAAGGGCAGGTGAGGTCACATACTAGACTAAATATACAGTTTTCATGACCCCTAACCACATCTCTGTTTAGCTTTGGTTCTAATTTTGACTTTCAGTGAGTCTGTTGTAATGTGTGCAGATTGAGGTTTTGAACCTGACATACTAGTAGCTTTGAGTTCTTTGCAAAATTCAGCCCATGTATTATCCAACCGGACCATGGGGGAAACACAAACCTCATAAATCTGTGGCTAAACTGTATACACACAGTCTGTAAAATTGAATGTCCTTTGTCCCAGGTTGCAAGAATGTCCACTATGATCTGGTATTCATTTTGGACACCTCTTCCAGTGTGGGCAAGGAAAACTTTGAGAAGATCCGGCAGTGGGTGGCGAACCTGGTGGAATCTTTTGACGTAGGTGCGGAGAAGACGCGTGTAGCCGTGGTTCGTTACAGCGACCGTCCTACCACGGAATTCAACCTGGGCAGGTACAAAACCCTTGGAGAGGTCAAGCGTGCTGCTGGGAACATCCGCTACCTGGGTGGGAACACCAAAACTGGAGATGCCATCAGCTTTACCACCAACAACATCTTCACAGAAATGGCCGGGGCGAGGCCTGCCAGTAAGGGCATTCAAAAAGTGGCAATCTTACTAACGGATGGCAGGAGTCAGGATTTTGTTTTGGAGCCATCAATTGCTGCAGCGGCTGCTGGTATCAGGTTGTTCGCCGTAGGGATTGGGGAAGCACTGAGAGAGGAGCTGGAGGAGATTGCGGCAGAACCCAAAAGTGCTCATATGTTCCATGTGACGGACTTTGACGCCATTGACAAGATCAGGGGCAGGTTGAGGAGGAGACTCTGCGAGAGTGAGTATTATGAGTTTGATTTTGCACCATGTACATTCTTAAAAATAAAATAAAGGTTCCAAAAAGGGGTTTTCACAGCAATGCCATTGAACAGGTGTCCAAACCTGTTCCTGGAGAGCCACTGACCTGCAGAGTTTAGCTCCAGCCTTAATAGAACACACCTGAACCAGCTAAGGTCTTCAGACTCACTAGAAACTTCCGGGCAAGCGTGCTGGAGCTGGTTGAAGCTAAACCCTGCAAGACGTTGGCCTTCAAGTACCAGGATTGGAGACCCCTGTCATAGAACAAGCCTGGAAAATTCTGGTCCTCGAGATCCATTTTAGCTCCAACCCTGATCAAACTCACCTGCCTATAGCTTTCTTGTAAACCTGAAGACTTTGATTACCTGGTTCAGGTGTGTTTTATTACAGATATAGTTAAGCTCTTCAGGAAAGTGGGCCAAAGTTGCCCATCCTGCCTTGGAAGAACTATTTTGGGTTCTCCAAATAACCTTTCAGTGAACAGTTCTTAAAATAACCATTTATCAGTGTGAAGAACATTTTGATAATCTAAAGAAACTTTTTCCACTACAATTTAACTTTTGTGCAGTAGAAAGGTTCTTGATCAGGGGTGTCCAAACCTGTTCCTGGCCACTGACCTGCAGAGTATAACTCCAACCCTAATTAAACACAACTGAACCAGCTAATCAAGGTCTTTAGACTTGCTAGAAACTTCCAGGCAAGTGTGTTGGAGTTAAACTTGGCCCTCCAGGAGCAGGACTGGTCACCCTGCCTGTTCTTGACTGAACTGTAGATGCCAATAAAGAAACTTTAGAGAGGACTTCCGTTACACAGTCAGATATAGGTGGGAGTTGACATAACATGTAGTTGACTTGACAGTTAACTAAAAACATCAGTCATTTAATATGCTTTTGTTGGCACACATTTCCATTCACAAGAAGGTCTGTTCTGTGCCATACAAGACTTGTTGGAAAGGAACTGGAAGCTCTTTGGTCCGGACATTTTTGTGGTTTCTTGTCTCTGTGAGCTCTGAGTAAAGAGGTGTAGTAAGTACAAGAGAGCTCAAGTGCTTTTCCAGATCACATCTGCTCCGCAGGCAAAGATAGCCTAAAAGTACATGTGGGATAGTCTTTGGAGGCCATTACAAACAACAAGCTTGCATTAAAACTATGAATATAGATTCAAAAATACATAAACCCAAACCGTTGAGATATGTGGCCTGTATTGACCGTCCAAATGGAAATTATGTGTACACATAGTATGTTTTTAGTGCTGATGGATGCTTAGCACACCAGACTTGATATTCCTCACTAAAATTAGTGAGAGTGGGAGGACGACGACACCTGGAGCTCTTTAGTTTGAAGTGGAAATCTGAGTCCGTAGTAGCACTAAAGCTATCCAAAAACTCTTGTGTAGTAAAATTAGTATTAAAACATGACACATTTTGTTGAAAGCACACTCTTTAAACAATCATTGATATTTGAAGAGGTTTTAACACAAACCTTTTTAAGTCAGACAACCTTGTGAGAAGATAGGGAACCCCTTTGACTTGGCAGGGTGATGGAGAGATAAAAGAGAAAGAGATAAACTGATTAATTGTAAACCCAAACCTTGACCCTGCCCTGATTCCAACCAAAAGCCCTCTTCTGAATGGCTCTAACCACATACATGACTCAGTGTGCAGATCAACTTGACGATCTCACTGCCAGTTATGGACTTTGTTGTCCCATCAGGGATTATCCTTCAAGCATTTAGAAAGGCTGAAACTGCATATCAGGTCCAGTTCTGTTATAACCAAGATCATTTGACTCTAGCGTTGGCGTCTAAGAACACTGGTGGCTAGAAAACATGGCATCTCTAAGGTCCAAGTTATTTTATGCCATGAAAATTACAGTCCTAAGGTTTCACGTGGAACAGGGCTCCACAGTACGGTTTTTACTTTTTAATCTTTGGCTTTAATTTGTTTTATGTTAAAAGATAAAAAGCATTACCTCTTTAAGGAGCACAATTATAATTGCGCTCCCTATAATGCATTGTTTCTAACTTGGAATGGGATAAATTTTTCTCTTATTACTATTATTATTATTGGCTATATACAGTGTGTATATATATTGCATTGTGGCATACATGATTCAAATGCATTTTATTTTTATCCATTTAAATTGTATGTTTTTGTACAAAATTTTATTTTTTTTAATAAATAAATAGTTTTTGACCAGGATGTTACAGTAATGACAAAATATCATAAATATAATGCTATAATGCAAAAAAATTTGCATTAAAGTCCTTATAGTTCTTTCACTGGGCCATTTTTTTTATTTTTCATATTTGAAATGAATGAAAAGTGTGTGTTTGACTGGGTAGTTTCATCACTTAGTGTATCTGGGCTTTGGTTCATGTCGGTGGTCCACCTATGGCTACAGCATGCCAGATATGTAATCAGTGGTGGGACACTGCTAAACAGAACAGCAGTGCACTGTAATAGTGTTGGGTGCGCTAATTTCCGCATGTTTGCTTTAGCATCTGTTGTTCCGGTTTCCTAAATCTGGTTTTGATTAACTTAATGGGCATTTCAAACAGGAGAGAAAACATTTGATTAAGACCTTCCCCTTCTTGAATCTCTGAGGATAGCTCGCATACTTGCCTGGAGGATTCAGATATGCTATTTACAAAGATGAATATTTTGTGTTGGACACAATAATGAAATGGGATTGTTTCTGTATGCCTAGTGCATCCAAGAAAATTTGGATGTGAGGTGTTTCAGTTGCCGATACTGGCATTCTGAATGGTTTTAAATGTGTTGCTATGTGGTTGCTAGGGTGTTTTGGTTTCTTACTGGTTATTTGAGTACTTTAAGTTAGCACAAATATACAGTTGGTTATAGTTTTACAAAGTCTTCTATATGACACAGCACTTTCTAAAATGTTGCATCATTCTCCAGCCTGAAATGTCAAGGTGATTAATTGTTGATTTCCTTGCTCAGCCATTGCCAGTTGGGCCCTTTTAAGCATGAATAATGTCTGATCTTTAAAAATAATATTTTATAAACTGACTAAAATCTTAACATGAAACAGTGCAAATTGTCCTGTGCTTTTGCATTCATTACATCGTTAACTAACAACATCTGGAAACACTTTGCAGGTGCATCATGATTTATATTCAGTTAAAATAATTTTACCAACTGAATATCCTTAGCATCGCTATGATTTTTATGTGATCCAATCACGATTTGATGTGCTTTAAGAAATAAGCAAGGGACAAACAAGAAAATAAATGCAAAAGTCTTTGGAAAAACAATGTGGAAAGGCAGCAATCTGAAGGCTAAGTTCTGCTCAGTCCATCATTTTAGTTTCATGGCCATTCTCTAAATTACAGCCTTTATGCCACAGCTGAAGGAAGTTGCCCTCGATAGAGCTCAGTTAGAAATCACTCATTTAAACAATGACGCACTCCTTGCTTTAGATTGCTTTGTCATTTCACCAGGCTCAAAAACAACCCATTATGTATGACCCCAATTTGATAGTTACTTGTCACTTAGCAGCATGCTAATTGTGGGGTCAGTCCCCCAAAATAAACTATGAGGTTAAATGCACAGTTCAATTGTGAATCATTTGAGACAGATCACTTCAATGAATCCACTGATACAGCCATTCTAAATGATTCATTCATAAATCACGAGTTCCTCTCACAGTCTGAATGTAGGCTACACCATTAACTTTGCTTCTACAGCTAACTCTAATAGCCTACCAACTAGTTTAGTTTTCTGGCATGACTAAGAACTAGTAGTAGTTAGTTAGCAACCTACTTTTTGTGTTTTAGAAAAGTTGAGGGAACAACATTAGCTGTTTGAAGCAATACAGAAAGACAAACCTTAAATTTCTCAGCATATTAGAATGATTTCTGAAGGATCATGTGAATTCGTACCCGCTCAAACTTACTAGCCTGGAAATGAAACCGAAGCCATTCGCTTTATTAGATTTTCTGTAACATATTTCAAGGTAAAAGATAAATAAATACCAAGCAGCAGCAACCTTCCGGTCTCTCGTGAAACCAACACGGAAGTGACTAAAACTGCAATTCATCGACTGGCCGCTAGAAGCTGGCTCCTAAAGGGAGTCAGTCCCATAAACTCCCCATGTTAAAATGGCCAACTTTACAGCAGAAAAAAAAATGTTTACAGCCTGGTACTAAAAGTGGTTTTGGTCTATATAGCAAATTTTGCCCTTCATGACAACTGTGAGGGGGGGTTGAATTTTTTTAAAACTCAGCCGTTTAAATTATATTAAGCCTTAAAGTTCTGCATAATTAAGGGCGTGGCCACTTGAGTGACAGGTGAATTATCGCTGCTGACACTGCCGTCAAGCTAGGTGGGCGTGGTTTCAGCAACCAGCTCCTGCCTCTTTGCCCATTTTCGATTATCCGGGAGTGACGCGTGGTGACGCGCTGCCAAGATGGCAACGGCCGGCTCCACCCACTTTGAGCTTCAAAAACGCTCTTCAGAAACCTACGGGTGATGTCACGGACACTACATCCATGTTTCTATATGTCTATGATAAATACAGTTGCTTTCCAATATAAAAAAAAACTGTTATTTTAAATTGAAATATTATTTCACAATATCACAGTTTTGTTGTATGTTTGATTCAATAAACACAACCTTGAGTATAAGAGACTGCTTTCCAAACTTTTGGTATTGTAAATCTGCCAACGATATGTGGATATCCGCTGCACTGGTAACATAACTTGGCTCACATAACGGATACAACACAAATATAGACAGCCAGGTGCTCTTTTCTCCAACCTTTATTTATCCTTGGGTGGGCGGCTGAGCTCTTTATTTTTTTGGCGGTCATGGTGATGTTTGCATCGGGCTGGGACTCGTTCGGGGGTGTGGGGGTTTGGGAGGGTCACGCTGAGGACACTGTATCAGACAGAGATGTAATTGTGTCAAGTGACCCAGCCTCTGTAAAGTGGAATTCGTAGCGAAGTTGAGGCCTCTTA